TCGGCGTTGCCACCCGAGAAGAAGACTTCGCGGCAGCAGGATGTGATTCCGAGCTCGGCGGTCTGGGCGGGCGTGAGGGATGAGGTTGTGATGGCGAGCTTAGAGAAGTCGACGGTCGAGACGGGGGCTTTTTGGGATTGGAGGCGCACGCGGACGACGTCGAGGGGTGTAACTAGAAATTGTTAGATCGCAGTTGAATGAATCTGTGGACAGCGAGGCGTACCGAGTAGCGAAGTTAGAAGGCTTCCCGACATGGCCGATACCATCTTTTGCCCAGCCGTAATGTCGACGACGTCGTTGTTGCCAGGACCTCGAGCGCCAGCGCCAGAAACAGACGGCGAGCCCCCATTGTCGGGGCCGTTGGGCTCCGTATCAATCATGTGTGCGAGGGAAAAGTCGTCGTCGGCCTGGAGCGGGCTCTGATGGTGGTGGTGCTGGTTATCGTGGTGGTGGTCGAAGCCGCCGGAACGATTTGCTCCGACAGGGGCCATTGTGGGAAGCCGGGGTGTCTCTTGTTCAGGCTTGGAAGGTCTGGTTCATGATTTGCCGGAATATGATGAAAAAGACGAGAGGTTCAAGAAATCAGATGAATGGTTGAAAGAGCAAGTTTAGAGTAGAGACCTGAGGCGTCGATGACGATGACTCGGTTGAGTAGTGCTTTTTTGGTGGAGAGGTCTTGTCTTGGTAGCAAGTGGCGATCGATCCAAGGGCGTCGAAGGCATCGGTCGGTGGAACAAGACCGAAGCTCCCAGCCGTTAGTTACTGTAGACAAGACAAAGCAGCCTCTTCCGTCACCTTTTTGTCTCTGCCTGGAACGCCAAAGCTCAAGGGGGTAAAAGTGAGGAGAAGAAGAAAAAAAGACTCCAATATCCGGAGGAAAACCCCGAGGCCGGTCGGAGGAGAATCGGTCGGGCTGTCGGCTAGTATCGTCTCTTGAGTGAATGTCCCAACCAAGTTAAACAGCTTCAAGGTGGAGATAATCTACGCATTGGCTTCTCTTCTGTTTTCATAGAAAATTGTCGCGATTTTCTACTGCTTCTTTTTCCTTCTTCTTTGTTCATTAATGACGAGGGAAAAAAAAACTGCGACATCGCCCCCCGGCTTTTTGCACGCGCCGGGGTTCGGAGCCTCGGCGACGAATCGACACTTTTTTTGCCCTCAACACACACGCAGGTACGTACAGTGTGAGCGTCCACCGACGGAGTTAGTGGACGCGCCCTCTTGCGATTGCCCGCCAGAGCTCCATTGGATCCAATCGATGCCAGCTGCTGCTTGAGCTGCCGCTTGGACAAAGAGCCGCGGGTTTCCGGCATGATGTCACTTTGCGATATGATTGGCTTGGAGAGGCCCACATCGGGTCTAGAGGCCAAAAGGGTCGCCGAGCTCTTTGATGGATAAGATAATCAGTTCAGATGGCTCAGCTCATCTCCTCTTCCCCAGTTATCCAATCACTGTTCCCCGCTGTGTCTTGCTGAAACTTCCAGTGGACATTAACCACAATGCATAGCTCCTAGCTTTTGGGACTTGTTGGGTTGGTAGCCTGCATTCATGCCCAAATGGCCGACGAGTTGCCATGACCTGGAGCCTGGGTAGTTGAGGAATATCCTCCCCCAAGGCTTTGGAGTTGAAAGCAGAGTGAAGCCACAAGGGGAAATACAACACCCCACGCTCCCTTTGTTACTTTGTCCATGGGTCCTCGTACCAGGGTGGACACTCGTCCCAGATTATCGTCGCGAGGGCAAGGCCATCATACCACCAATATCATGGCTAACCCTCAGTGGGGGCTGTTCAATGGAGATGGTCGAGAAGTTCACGAGATCGGTTTTTGTAGGAGAAACCGGCCCCGCCGCTTTCTAGAACTATGGCATGATACCTAGGAGCTTTGAGTAGATGACTTCATAAGGTCGCTGTCTCATTCTTGACGGGTGCCATGTCCGCGAGAAAGCGGCAAAGCCCATCTCATACCAGTGTAGTTGAGCAATGCGCGATGAGAGTCTTGTTTCTTGCAGAGACATTTCGGAATGCAAACCCGTAGTGATAATCAGCAAGGCACGGCAAATTTACAGACTGTTGCGGGATCTATCATCCACCCCTTTGTTAACTTTGGCACTACATAGGACACTTATTCGACTTCAAAATTTACGGAGCGGTCGCTGTTACTATCCTAGCAGGCTGCCATATCAACAGGGGGGCAGAGGCTTTTTGTAGGGTGATCTTTTCTACTTTTCGAGGCGCCAATGAGAGCCTGGGCCTCGCGATTTCACTGCAACTTTAACCCCCTTCAAGACGATTATGAGGCTCGGCGTAACAAGGCAATCATTTGTATGTACCCTTCAGCACCAATTTGGTTTGACGGGATGATTCGCCAGCCTGATTGAGCCGCTCCTTCACTGCAAATTTAACCCCCTTCGAGGCGATTATGGCATTGGTTCATGCCTGATGGATGCAAGATTTCTTTACGTGCAAATATAAATCCCGAGGCAATTGTGACATGCATTCACGCTCGATACAACGTCAACCAAGTAACCCCCCTAACTATTCAATGCAAGCCAATCCCCCAAAATAGCCTTGAAATGTAACTTTAAACATGCGCAATTGAGATCATTAAAGAAAATAGATTAAACTCGAATGGAGCGCAGCCCTGCGAATTGGGACTTATTTCTTTCACTGCAAATTTAACCACCCTCGAAGTGGTTGTTACACCGTCCAACGTTTCCAACGGATCATCTTTTCCCGTTCCGTCTAAAACTGGCCTAGTCTCAATTTGTCCACCGTCAAATTGATGACTCTTGCGGCGAACTGCTTCCGGCCAAGATCCCTGCTCATCCTCCTGACCAATCCCCTAGATCCGATACTCTTTGCATCATCAATCACGTCTAGACGTTATCACACCTAAGCAATTACTCTCTTCTTACCTACCCCCTGCATTCAATTGATTTCCTCCCCTTCTGAGTCAAGCGGCAACATACTCAAGCTCAAACAAATTAAAAGCTTCACCGCTTGAACTCCTTCATCTATAAAGTTGTATACGTAATCATGAATCCTTTGTAGACACCGCTTTGCAAAATCACCTTTCGGACATATCGGACAAAACAAGACACACACAAGTCATGACTTCTTCCAACGGACAAGAGCTCGACTCGGAGCTAGAGTCGTTCCGCCAGCAGTGGATCTCTGATCTCAGGACCAGAAACGAGGACCACCATGACGAGCAACAGTCTACGGCTGGACCTTCGAGACGGGCTCACCACGGACCTCCTGTGTCGCACAAGCCTGCTCCTGGTCCTGCGGGGGCTGACGATAACGATGATGATTATCTCCAAGGTCAATCTTTTGATGAACCTGCGCCTGAGGAGCCGACTTTGAGCGGTCATCCTGTCAGTGAGGTGCATCATGGACGCTCGGGCAAGAAGCTCGTTTCGGCTCTTGATCATTATGAGGAGGCTATGCACAAGGAGGCTCAGGGAAACATGGGTGATAGTCTAAAGCTTTACCGCAAGGCTTACCGGGTTTGTCTCCTGTCTTTTAAAGATGAATAAGTGCTAACTTTTACAGCTTGACAATGGTGTTGATCGGAGATATCGAGAGAAGCACTTCCCGCAAAAGGCGGCTCCAAGACCAACTTCACCAACAGCCACCAGGTCATCAACAGCCATCACATCACAACCCAAGGCTGATGAAGCCGAAGAAGTAAAGCCATTGCCCATCGGCGAGCTCATCGCCAGCTTCTCTGGCCTCAAGATCGAGCCTCAGCCGCCTCCTGTCGAGGGTATGCCCCAGCCGCCATGCCCCCTGGCTGATCTCCCTGATGAGATTCTCGTCCACATCCTCCGTGATGTGGCCATTGCCGACGTCGGCGACTTTGCTCGCTTATCTAGAGTCTGCAAGCGGCTGGCCTACCTCGTAGCAACTGAGCAGCGCATCTGGCGCCGAGTTGCTATGGGTTCAGAGGTTGGCTTCAGTTCTATGCTATACCGCTTCGAAAGGGGCATTGAATGGGATGACCTCCCAGAAGAGGAGCAAGACGACATTGAAATTGTTGACGGTGTCATCGTCGGCCCCGCCGAGATAGCTCAACGACGACATGCCGACAACCTCGCCTATACAGAGTCCCTCACCCCCTCTGTCTACCCAACCTGGAAGAACCTCTTCCGCTCACGGCCACGCATTCGCTTCAACGGCTGCTACATCAGCACCGTCAACTATGTCCGTACCGGTCAAATTTCTACCAACCAGACCTACTGGGGAAGCCCCATCCACATCGTCACATACTACCGCTACCTCCGTTTCTTCCGCGACGGCACCCTCATCAGCCTGCTCACCACCGCTGAGCCCTCTGACGTCGTCCACCACCTCACCCGCGAGGACCTACACCTGCACCGCGACGTCGCGCACCCCCACCTCCCCTCGGCCGTAATGGCCCTCGCCTTACGCGGCCGGTGGCGTTTGTCCTCCGCCGCGGACCGGGACGACCCCTCCGTCATGGATCGCCCCACCATCGCCGCCGGCCCGCATGATCGGGACCGCGACCCGGAGGGTGACGTCTTTGTTGAGACCGAGGGTGTTGGCTCCAAATACATGTACCGCATGGACCTGTCGATGCGGAGCGCCGGTAAAGGCGCCCGTAACAACAAGCTCATCTGGCGCGGTTTCTACAGCTATAACAAGTTAACGGATGATTGGGGCGAGTTTGGCTTGAAGAACGATAAGCCCTTCTTCTTTAGCCGGGTTAAGAGCTATGGATTCAGCGAGTAATGGTAAACATGCCTTGCCTTGTATATCATGTCCGTTGGTCCATATTCAAGGCTTGCGTTTCATATACATATTTCTATCTTCAACCGCACTTACAAGACGACAGAAATGAAGCAAGCCGGGTGGTGCATCTTTAGACATCGGAAATCACTCTTTCCAGCTATGGCCACGCCGTTATGATCGCACTCACTACATACTTTCGCAGGCATTTCCTGCATTCAATGTCATAATTTCCCCGTGTTAAGGCTTCACTACATAGCTGCCTACTGTCCAGCATCGCCCCCAGTGTCCAATCCAAAGAGTATTCAGCTAATCCGGTCCATACAAACAAGATCGCCATAGTAGATTAACAACGTCGGCTACCGTATAACCCAAGCCAGAAACGCCTCCAGTGCCGGCTGACCAAGATGATATGCTAGGTAGATGGGGAAGAAACAATTACTGTTCCCAGAACTTGTGGCATTCAAGTATAAACGAATGCCTAAGAAGGCCAAGCATGTTATGCCATCAGGCATGCTGAGATGTGATTTGTAAATGTGATCGAGAGTAGATCCAAGATGATAATGAGATGATGGCTGATGTTGCAAAATCAGGCGATGGCTGTCGCCGGGTATCAATTCGCAAAAACGACTTTGCGTGAAACGGGCGGCATGTTAGGCCCAATAGGTAGGTAGGTAAGTATAGGTAGGTTTCCAAGAGACACTCGCTCCCAGCGAGTTATCGAATTCTCCTTCCGTCCAGGAACTTGGGGCTGTGCCCATCGTAGTAGTTGTCGCGGTACTGCATGGCTCTGCGTGCCTCATACTCTGCCTTTTCGTCCTCGTCCATGCTAAACGCCTTCTTGAGCCACCCAAAGGCACTCTTCTTCTTCTTGACCCGCTTGCCTCCAGCTTGGGTTGTAGCCCGCGATGTCACGGTAGCAGCATCGTCATAAGTCGCCGTTGTCACACTGCTTAGCGTGCTCATGGCACCCATTCGAGATGGCTGGTTGCGTTGGTGTCCAGGAAAATATCCCGATTGATGGTACTGATCGGCCGGACCTGCAGTATGCGGCCTCTGCTGCAGGGGAGAGTGGGGTGATGCACGGACAGGAATCGTATTATGATAAAATTGGTGATGTTCAGAATGAGGCGAGGGCATGAGAGGACGCACAGGAGGAGTCCCGAAGTCTGCGTGTGAGGTGGCTCGAGGAAGACGGTGAGGCTGGTAAGCTTCAAGATCTGAGGCATGCGAGTAGTCGGGAGCTTGCGATTTCGAGGTACGTGGCGTTATGCCTCCAGGAGATGGCCGCAGCGATGACTGTATCTCGATGGTGTTCCTTGGAGGAATTTGGATAGATACGGGCGGTGTTGTTTTCTGTGACACACGCTGCCGCAAAGATGTCCTCTTCTCCAATCCCACTGATTCCCGGACAGACTGTGTAAATCCTACCGACTCCCGGACAGGCTCTGCATATCCTGTTGATTCCCGAACGGGCTGTGCAAGTCCTACAGGTTCTCGGATAGGCTGTGTAAGAGTCTGCCTTTGGAATTGTTCTTCAAATTTGGGTGATTCAGGGCTCTTAACCACAGGCGTCACGGGTGTGGCAGGCGGTTGCGGCGTGTAGGTTCGTGGCTGAAGGATGAACAACGGTCCATCGTTAAGTCCGCCAAGATCGTCACCGGCCTCGGGTTCCTCCTGCTTTTCCTCCGTGACAGACGCCTTAGGGGTGGTAGCACCAGACGATACGGGTGACGAAGCGCTGAGATGGGGTCCAGAAGAGGAGGACGAGGTACTGAGGTTTGGTGATGGACGAGGGGTGAATCGAGTTGGTGGTAGCAAAGGTGCTGCCCCTGGCAGAGGAAAGTCGCTAAGAGTGCTGACGTCGTTGAGAGTATTGACTTCGGGGTCTTTAGCTTTGAGGCTGGCAGCCGGGAGGGTTGTAGTCGACTTGGAGCTGCGAATGCTAGCCACAGGTGTGGACTTGGGATCCGATTTGATCGACGGTGAGGAGGAGCTTGCTGTTGAGTCACGAGGAGCATTCACGGGCAAGGAAAAGGGTGGAATTGTTGCCTTTAGCTTGTTAGCCTTGGTCCTGACGAATGTCAACGATCAACATACCCAAGTTTTACGGCTGACCTCGCCGGCCGTCTTTTCCATCTCGGCCACAATGGTCATGAGCTTGATGATCAAGCCGTTTAGATCCTGCGCCTGATTGTTCAATTCGTCAAATGCGTTGAGCCAGCCGTCGGCATTGCCCTTCATGGCTAGAAAAATGCTGTTCAGATCTGGTTCAGAGTCTGGCCACTTGGTGTCCTTGTGCTCATTGAGCCATTCCATGAATGCCTCGCTCGATCGGAGGCCAGCATCGATATCGTCGTCCCACTGCTTCATGGCGGCGTTGGTCCGGGCGAGAATGTGGTCAATCTTTTCGTTCCCTGACAGAATCTGGGCTCGAAAGTTGCGATCCTCGAGCATACCCTCAAAAGCCTGCCTGTTGGCCATGGGGAGTTGAAGATGGGCAATACGCTCTGTGAGGTCCTTGTGAGCCTGGGCAAAGTCCTCAAGCATCACCTCAAGAAACTCGTCCACCTCATCGATATGCCCCTGAAGAATTGTCACGACCTGTCCATTGTCGGCAGCCAGGCTGTTGAGAAGGAGGTAGACGCCAAACGTGATTTGCGAAATGAGCTTGTACATTTCGTGCTGTTGCTGGCCCGGCCGATAACGCCATGTCGTGTCGTAAGGCTCATCCTCGGCGTCTTGCTCAAGTAGCCTCGCTCGACGCCCCTGTGCGTCGAGATCTCTTAGTTTAGGTTTACCGGGCCCATCGCCACCACTGGTGACTTCGTCCAAAGACTCGGCGAAGGCTTCTTGCATAGCCGGGACGGGGTGTGTCGGGATGTCTTGGTTTGGTGCCTTGTAGGACCTGTAGCTATCGGTCGAAAACCGGTGGTTAACCACCGAAGGTGGGTGTTCTGAAACGGTGTCGCCATCGTCAGAGGTTGGCACGAGGACGATTCGGAGGTCGCCAGGGTCATTGAATGTCAACGGCTGCAGCGTAGTGGGAGCCATGGTGGCGGTGCCGACGGCCGAGATAGACACTTCTGAAGCGGGCCTGACGGCCGAGGACATCATGGAGTCGGCGCGGGGAGTGGTTGCGTCGAAGGTACGTGAAATCGAGAAACTGCAGGAAGCCGTCTAGCCGTTAAATGCGGCAACACAAAGGCGTTATCGAAGCGGCAACGGAAACGGTTGTGCAGATGTTGTGCAGAGCGTCGGGCGAATCTTTGTGCTGAGGCGGCGTCGTACAGCGTATCGAGCGAACGAGTGGCAGCAGTTGGAGACAAAGGAGGGGGAGTCTATCGCATCGTGAAAGCGCCGCCGGGAGCCAAGATTCAAGCGACGGAGAGAGCCATGGTACAACGGGAGTAGAGCACGGTAAGAGACGGGTCGGTTTTAGTAACGGGTGCGCGGTGCGAGGTTATCCAAAAAGTCGAGGTTCGTTGAGGCGCAAAAGCTTGAGAGAGATCGGCGGGAACGTGGGAAGCTGGGAAGAGGTCGCAGCTCTATCTGTAGCGTTGGTCTGCAAAGGGGATGGATCATCAGCTGATCAGGGACCCAAGAGGCCACAAATAGGTACGTAGGTCGGCAGGCCGCCCAAGCCAAGCAAGCAAGCAAGCAACTGTTTGGCTGTCGAGGGGGGTTCGGGTCGACAATCCGGGGTAGCCGCAGCCCACAAAAAGGCAAGAAAATGAAGGATCCGCCTGCTAATTCGCAGCGTGAAAATACGAACCCTTAAAAAGAAGTAGGAAAAGACGCGCAGGCCGAGGGGCAAGGATGAAGGTTCCAAGCAGCTGGTGAAGAGGAAGAAGAAAAAGGAGAAGCCCGAGATTCGGGATGGGATGGAAGTGATGAATTGATACTGGCAAGCAAGGTTGGTTGGTTGCTCTTTCCCTTGAATCCTTGACGCGTACACGCCCATGTCCGGGGCTTCGCCTCCTTCCTTCTTCTGTTGCCCGTTGTTCTTGCCCATCAGTCACTCAGTCACGCACCTTTAATCACGGGCTGGACTGGACTGGACTGGGATGAATGGGCTGGGCTGGGCTGGGCTCTAGGTGCTAGTTAGAGTGTGCGTGCTTCTCTCTCGTTCTCGCACTCTTCTCGTTCATCCCCTGAGTCTGAACCACGCCAGCAAGTGGCCATCCACCAACGGCGGTCTTGGCGGGCGGCGCAACCACTAACAGCCGCTAAACGCAGGTACCATCTGGACGCCCCTTGAGGCCCCAGTGCCCCAGTGCCCCTGAGAGGCCCCTTGGCTTGGACGCGCGCCCCCACCGTCAGGGCAATCCACTCATTCACTGCAGTTCCCCGAGGGTGGAGCTGAGTCTTTGATTTCTTCGCCATCAAACAGGTCGCGATGCGTGATGGGATTGCATCCTGCTCATGCAGTTCCATCTATGTGCTGCCCAATGGGCAAAGGCCCCGAGGTTCAACAACAACAATGAAAAGAAATTGCAGCTTGTGTCGGTTAAATGGGTGGTTGACGAGGCTTGGCGGGCCCAACCGCAGCCTAGCAGATGCTTAATGCCACCACACGGCAAAGCACTCCAGATGATTGCAATATCGATGGATGCCCAGCCCGAGGACGACTGCCTTTGATAACCGAGAGCAGGTATCAGTCCTTGATTGGGCACGAGTTAACAAAGCCTGGCCTTTAGCAGTCCCGAGTAAGCGGCGATCAATGGTTCTAGATCTGCCGAGGCTCTGGGTTCTCGATGCAATTCACGGCTGGGTTCGAAAACAAGTCCCTCAATGGTGGATAGGCCCTTTGAACTGGTGGCGGTTCAACTCTAATTGCAAGCCAATCATGGACAGACACTCTCGATGCCTAAGAGTCTGCTAGTCCACGTCAAACACCAATCCCACCCTCGAGGCGGACAGCTTGCCATCAGCCGAATATCCCATGGCTTGCCGCGCTTCGCACCGGCGGCATGTCGCCATCCCGCATCGTCTCCATGCCGATCCAAGCTAATTTCTTGTCCGTCGACGAGCAAGCGCCCGACGAAATTATCCTCACGACATCTGGCGCGGCCTAGCTCAGGGGGACGCATCTGGTGGTGCACAAATAATCATGAGGCCCCATGTCCCATGGAACGCCGGACTGCATGCGCCGCTCCAGCCAATGTCCAGCGCTCGAGTCTTCCGAACAAAGCAATAGCCCAGGATGGATTTGAAAGGGTCCCGCTTGGGTCGTGCCAAAAGGGGGCTTGCGATCAGATCGGGACTTGGGAGCTGTCATTTCAGCCTGCGCCTAGGTCCTGCGAATCGTTGATAACTGCAGCTATCGATGGGTACGGCAGACGCCTCTCGGCGACAAGAGCCGCGAAGAATTGCCCTCCTAGCAAAGTGTCATGGGTCCCAGCTGACAACAGGGAGCTGACGCACTGTTCATTCCGTCGACCGACCAGCAGTCGGGAGGACCCAGATACCTCCAGGGGGCCGTCCGTGGTCCGTGGTGTCGGGTTGACCCTACTTATTTTATTCTGCCGCCGTCTGTATCCAAAACTCATGCTTGGGATTGATGAAGGTGTCGCGTGTTGCTGGGGCCCTGACCGACAGTCTGTATCGCCTCTGTTGCGACGGCAGCCTGCTTTGTTGACGAGCTGCGTAGCTCGGCCACTCAGGGGCTTGGTGCTTTATTGACTGCAATTTACAGGTCATCTTTCAGGACCGCCAGTAAGGTTCAGTAGCGACGTTTCGGTGGCGCCAAGTTTGTCAAGGCCGTTGATCCTGCGGGAGCTTCCGAAAACTCTCTGTTGGGCTGAACCTTTTGGTGAGTTTTCGTCGTTGCCAGAGGGAAATAACCAGGCTTGGAGTTGATGACAGTCGCACAGGATGGCTCTGCAACCAGTGTTGATAGTCATTTCGATAGTGCTGGGCCAGTCTTGCGAGGGCACGGCCTAGATTCTACGCCACGGCTTTCCTGTGTCGTGCAGCATTGGCACTGAGTACGAGCACGTGTTGTTCTTGGCTTGTCGAAGCTAATTTATTGCTTCTCCCGCTATTTCTTCGGCCTGGGTTGAGGTGGTTCTTGGCGTCTATCCAAGGGTATCGAGAGATTTGCGGCGGCCGAGTGGATCAAGCCCGATACCAGACGGCTTGCAAAAGGAAATATTCTAGATGAATAGTGTCCTTCTATCCGGATACTGATAAAGCTAGAACTGTTCCGTCTTGTTGTTCTTCGGCGATTATCAACAAGCCACAGACGCTCACTCTCTTGGCTGTTGGCTCAGCCACGCGTCAGCCCTGCGGCGTCATCTTTCATGATCCATAGAGTTGCCTTTTTGAGAACTGCCGCATCCAAGGTCAGACGCTTGCACCAAACCTTGATTTCAATGGATGCCCGCAAAAAAAAAACCCTGAAAACAACCTTGCCTTGTGCATCTATAATAGCCACGTCGATGTCCTTCATTGGAAGTTTTGACCAAGATCTGGCGGGGGGGGAAACCGTCATCATCATCTGAGCTCAGCAGCAGCCTCCGTTGAAAAACGCCAAACCCCAAAAATAAAACGCCCACGATCCAGTAGTTTGGGGTTGGCGCTTCTGTTTAAGGGACCGCCTCCGCTCTGGGGTTTGGGAAATTAAACCCCCAGATTTTTTTTTGGCCTTTCTGTCAACTTCAACACCACAACTAATCACAAAAAGCACCAGCGAGATGGCGCCCAAGAACCCTTTCAGGTTCGGCGACGGCCTCTGGGATCCCTCCAACCGCTTCGAGACGTCTTGGCTGCTGAACCCGTGGCTTCTCTTCGCCTTTCGCGCCCTCATCTCCATCTACGCCTTTGTCACGCGCTTCTTCATCATCGGATGGACATGTACCCATAGCTCGGTCGGCGGCTGCGAAGAGGTTCGACACTCGTTTAGCTACTTCACCATCCTCACATACTGGGGCATCGCCTTCTACTTTGCTGTCGCCGCCATACACACATTCACCTACGCGCTGCGCGGCCGGCCACTACTCGACACTCTTCCTCGTCCTCTTCAAGCGCTACACGCGCTCTTCTACTCGACCATCGTCACGTACCCGTTCCTCGTCACCATTGTGTACTGGGTTGTTCTGTACAAGGGTGACTGGTTCACGGTCACCTTTAGCGCTTGGTCAAACGTCAGCCAGCATGGCCTCAACAGCTTGTTTGCGCTCTTCGAGATCTTTATTCCCCGAACGAACCCCCCGGAGTGGGTGCACATTCCCTGGCTGATTCTCATTCTCGCCCTGTACCTCGCGCTGGCGTACATCACCAAGGCCACCGAGGGCTTCTACGTCTACAACTTCCTCGACCACAACGACGTTGGCGGAAGGGGCATTGTCGCCGCGTACATCATTGGCATTGCTGTCGGAATCGTCGTCATCTTTTGCATCGTCTGGTGCATCATCTGGCTCCGGCGCTGGGTGACCGAGACAAAGTTGGGCAAGGACGGCAAATTCGCCAAGCAGCCTGACAACCACGACGATATCGAGATGACGTCTGCCGCCAACAAGTACGCCATTGGAAGCGCTCCCGAGGCGCCGGATAGGATGTACTGATTTATTGCCCTTGTCACGGGTGTTTCATTTATGGTGTTGATTGATATGCGATGGCGTTGTGTCTTGGGTTGGTTGGCTTTGGTGTGAGCCTCGACGAATGTATGCAGGCCTCTTCTAGTTGGGCTATGTGATGGTCAAGGATACCCCTTTGTTTGACATTAGACAGCAACGAGGCTGACAAGTATTGGATAATCTCTAATAATGAAATCTCACTCAACAATCGAATTGTTACACATGTGCATGCTGTGTCCCAGAAGAAGCATACCTCCGTGTCGTTCATTGTCGTCCCATGTTTAACCCGCCAGAGCTCCATCGGTATTACAGTTACAATACATGTACAATATCCCTTCTAACGAAATCACGGCACCGTATATATCTACGCCTCGTCTAGCATTTCAACAAGACTCCTCGTCTCGCCTCAGACTCTCGAATCTCAAACATAATTTGGATGCCCACGAAAAGACACGAGCATGCCGTAAGGAGGAACAAAAGACCTGTTCGAGTTAGTAATGCTTGTCAACTAGTCGGAAATAGACTTTGCGTACCTGACCAGTCATGCAATATGCTCTGGATAATGCTCTGCAAGCCTTCCACGCCAACAGCGAAGCCCACCAGGTTCGCCGAGATCATCATAAGTACGTTGCCCACGCTTCCCACACAACAGAGCATGCGATACTCTGTCGGCCGGTTCTCCCATTTGCGCGGCGGGAAGAAGTAGGCAGCGATCCATTCAGGAAGCATGAACAGCACAATCAACCATCCCCAGATTAGCAGCCGCAGCTGAATATCGTGCCACAGTGCCACAAAGGTGAAAGAGAGGAGGTACGTCATAATAGAGCGAGCCGTGCTCTGCCAGGTGCGGAACGATGAGCCACCCAGAGGCACGTAGATATATCGGATCAGCCATCGGTTGTAAGAGCGGTGCCATGCTCGCCAGAAACGCTGCGTGCTGTAGTTGTTGCTCACGCAGCGGACCATGTTCTCGGGGGGATCGATTCCATCAATGAGCGCCCAGAGTCGGAACATTCGCCAAGGAATGAGAAGCTTCAGCCAGATGATGTGGAGGTTGAAGAAGGACAGCAGACTCAGCTGAGCAGCTGTGTACGAGCCCCATTCCGGCCTTCCCTTGCTGATAGCACCAACATAGTCGTAATGCAAAATCACTTCCATCGAAAGCAACACAAGGAGGAAACGGATACCATATCGAATCGTTCGGTTCGTCTCGATGCTAGCAGCGCGGTACTTGGACTGGCAAATAAAGTCGTTAAAAGTCACGATAGGTCCAGTCAGGTAGAGCGGCGCATAAATCGCATAGCCGACGTAGTTTCGGAAACTAAAGTCTCTAGGATCGGCCGAGATAGAGACACGGTCTCTCTCTGAAAGGTTTGCTGGGTCCAATTGCTTCTTCTTTAAGCATCAGAACGAAATCAGATTCCAGCTCCAACTGAAAATCATTGTGGTCTCACTCACCTCGAGAGCATTCGAGTTGCTGCGGTCAACACTCCAGTAGTAGTCCAGGTTGAAACTGATAAGACGCAAGATTGTCAGGTTGAAGAGAACCTCCCATCTCGCCAAAAGGCCCCTAAACGTATTGTCGATGCTGGCTCCGAGGCTCATCAACTCCGAGTCGATCGGTCTCACCCTGTTCCCTACAACACCCATGGTAGGAGGTGAAATGAAGCTGGCCATAATTCTAAGCCGGTAGCCCTGTGTCAACTCGTTTGCAAAGAGGATTCCAACATTAAAGATCCATGTCGCAGCAGGAACATATTTTCGGGGAAGCTTGGTGGCCAGCTGATAGTTGGTCCAGAGGATGAAGAAGATCTTGAACGCTGAAAGTCCATGAAGAACGAAGAGGAAGAAGATTGCGAATGTGAAATCGAACGACGCTCGCTGGTCCAATCTACTGCGCCCGCCCTGGCTTCGCTCCGGTAAAGGGTTTACCTTGTTCCAAAGCTTCCTCAGCAACGGATGAAACAGCAGGAGGGCGCCCATGTATGGCATGTTCGTTCGGAAGACGTGGTATTGCGCATCGGAGACGTCGATTTGTCGCCCAGGGATCCAGCCAGGGGACAGGAACCGGCTAAACTTGGAATATCGAGGGTCGCTTGCTAGTGGAGTGTCAGTACGGCTTGAGTAGTCGCAGGGAAGATTTCGTACGCCTCGAAACATCGTATGCGATCCAGAACATGTATGGAAGGGCCACGCCAAGAACGAGATAGTATAGGAAGAACTCGGGAGTCTTCCATTTCGAGGGCTGCGCGCGGCTTCGCTCCTTGGATGCGAGGTCTCTTTTCAAGGTAGGATCGCTTCGCGCATCGATAATGGTCTGGTAGGGAGTGGAAGACGGGGTGAGAAAGCGAGTGTCTAGAGTATCGTGGGCGTAGACCTTGCGGATGAATGATAGGAGAGCCATGGTGGCGGTTCTGTTGAAAGCGATCCGAAGGTTCAGCTCATGGCGGTTTCGGGAATTCAGATGCAGAGATAGCGAATGCGAGAAGCTGCAGGATAAAGAGTATATGCAAAAGGAGAGGCGGCGAGGCAATGGAGGGTAAAAAGGAGCTGTTGATTCGAAGGGAAAAGACGATGTCGTGGCCTTCGCGGGGGGTGATGGTGTTGAGGCTGCACGGGCAGAAAAAGGGATCCGAGGCATGGATGGGGTAGTGGGCGGGCTGCAGGGGGCTTAGTGGGCGGGAACCCCTGAAAGCAAAACTGAGTTAGGGGGCCTGTCACTCGTTCACGAGTTGCCGCGCGTGCACTATTTTGGACAGTGTGGAGAGCTGTCATTTTTAGACTGTCTTGGCTACCCTAGAGTTGGGGATCGACGAGGTCGTGAGGTTGATAGGGAGATAGATCTTGATGTTGTTTGGATTTTGATGCTCAAAATAATATATACTTACTACTCATTGAGAGAATGTTACAAACAGCCAAGAGAATGCCGTTTCACTTATCCGTGGTCGTGTGGATGGCACCTACTCTTTCTCCACGCACCTCCGGCAATGTGCAGGTAGCCTGCTTGAGTGCTCAACAGACCTTCAGCAGGCTGTGAATCACAGCCAATACAAATGCCCTGTAATTCACTTCACGTTACACAAACACAACCAGGATCAGATGATAGGTCAAGCCCTGAATTTGTGCCCAAGAGCTCACACTATCAATAGATTACGTAGCGCCTGCCGACACGGATTCACTTACATCACATCCTGGCAGAAGGTGAAGTTCATCCGGTGTTCTTATGAAATATACAAAAAGTGAGTGATTCGCAGGAATTTAATATTCAGAAAATTATAAAAGAGCTGAACAAATCCAGCTCGACAAACTTGGAACAGACAAACTAGGTCTCCACGTCCAAACTCCCCTCACCTTCGACGGTCTCAAAACTCCTCAGCTCCATCACTCAAAAGAGCTTTCTCAACACCCAGTAAACCAAACTACAACAAGATGTGCAAATGGGACATCTTTCTCTTCAACTGCGGCTGCTTCCTGGTGCAGCTCAAGGACCCATGCCACGACCGCCGACACAGGTACCACCTAAACTGCGTCCAGATCCAGCAGGTCCGCAAGGAATGGGTCTACTGCCAAGGTCGCCTCTGCGACAGATGCCAAGATCTGCATGATGAGGGATACGGGGTCTCGGACGAGCTGCCCGCGTGGAAGGATCTGCAGAGGGCGGCGTATCAGGTTGCCAGGGATCGGGCGAATATGGGGCACTTTGAGTGACACGCGAGACTTGGGAGGGTTTCTCGTGATCAAGGCTCTCAGGATGCCTGTGCGGGTTTCCTATCAGGCACGAATTCGGGGAAAACGATGTGATGAGACAAAAACCGGTTGATATGTGAGTTGAGGCGATCAAACTTGGGTTATGAATGTTTACTGACAAGGCTCTAGGGACATACTATCCAATACATCAACTACTTTCCTCTATTTTCAGTAAAAATCTCACTTTCTATCATTCAAATAAGCGCTACCGTGATTGTGGATGAGTTTGCCGTGTTGGCTCTCGCTGGCTCTCGAGTTTATGAACACCTTGACTGGGGTTCCTAACAGTTATTTTGTACTTGGAATGTTTGAAATTCATGATTCCGTCCACTCTAGACCGTCCAACCAGGCCCTTGGGCAGAAGCTTTTAGGTCTGAGTAGATGAAAGGAAGTCAACTGGATTGTTTCCAGCCTTCCCTTTCAGGATGCATGTAAATATGTTTTCATCTCAAGCAGCTCTAAGAACAAACTGAATCACACACCAAACTGATAGAAATTGTAGAGAGGTATTAAAGATTACTGTATCATGGCGTGGGTATTTATTTGCTCAAGATTACTTCCCTATCTTTTTTCGTATCTCTTCATTAATCGTCTGCATCGCCCGAACCAAAGGCACGATATCCTTCTGTCCCCTGGCCAACAACGCCGACTGATTTCCTAACCGTTCTAGTGATTCGACATCTTTCATGTAGCTCTGAGGATCCTCGGATTGTAGGATACTGTTTGCGAGATAGGCGTAGGCGACGAAACATCGATATGCCCCGAAGAGGGTTGTCATCGTTTCCACGTAGGGGTAGATGACTAGTAGCTGGCTTAGGAGGTTGATGATGTGTCGGCAGGCATCCTCAACAATTGGTGATTCGGGGATGTCCAGGTCTGTTGTTGGTGGCCTTGGGGAGGTTGAGTCGAGAAGAGACATCTTGCGGAACATGTAGATGATGGAGGTGTAGCCCGTGAAGAGGACATCGACCACCACCCATATATCTTGCTCCTTCTCAGGAGCATCTGCCATCCATTCATTCTACCACAATGTTAGCTGCTGCTAGCCATGAGAATCCGACGGTGAACTCACTAATTGCCACTCGTCAAAAATCTGCTGCATTTCAAGACAGAGCTCCTCCGTCTTGGCCATTATCTCGGGCTTGGTGGTATTCTTTGGGTCGTCCAGCATGGCAAAGAACCGTGCAATGACCAGACTGACCCGAGAGCTAGCGAGGAATGCTGTGGACTGTATCCCTTGGAGGGGAGGCCCCGAATCAGCATCCAGCCAGGGTAAGTTGACCTTCCAAGGATTGTTTGTAATGGCGGGCGGTGTGTTGAGGACTAGCCGGAAGAATAGGTCGATCTGGATCACCTCCCAGAAACCTCTTCTTTCGTCATCACACTTGTCCCCGAGAAAAGTGGCATCGGCATCGTCGCCGTCGAGGTTGTGCAAGTTGAGAGCCTGGCAAGACTCGCAAGCGTGCTTGAACATTCTCCAAGCCAGATCGTAATCGAAGAATTCGGCAGCCACACGGGTCTACAAGGTTAGAACATTGAAACGATGATAAAAAAAGGGTAGCTTACCACACAGAGGGCTGCAAGAAGGTCAGTTATTGACCCTGACGCTTCTCGCTCCCAAAGAGGGATGGCGCGAAGACATCCCAGGTAACTGGCGTTCATGTAGTCAATGCCGACGACTGAGGTGTTGCTGGCTTTTAGACTGCAGCCATGGTACATGACGGTGTAGTAGATGACAAGGATGACTGGGTCGACATGGATATGGGGGAGGTCGATAATGTCGGGTATCATCTGGATCACTCGTCGCTCGAATAAGCCGAGGAACATGCATGCCGGCATATGTTCAAAGTAATCTGCAAGTGTTAGAGATAAGAAGGGAGCTGGTGCAAGGTCACCTACTCTCAACCCAGGTCTTGGCTAGGTCTGTTGGGATGGCGATGGAATCTGTGATTACAGCCGACCCAAAGGCCCGTCTTCGCCTTTCCTGAACCTGATCGACAGCATCCTTCAAGACGGTCATGGCGTCCATCTCCTGGCGAGGGTTATGAGGCGTCGTGACGCATGAGTCGCGACCATTGATGGTGGTGGACGCGCATGGCGACGAGCTTGACGAGGCATTCCCAGGAATTGATGATGGTGTACAAGGATTGTTGGCTGAAGTTGAGGAGGTATTCTGGGCTTCAAGGCGTTGCAGACGGTCGAGGATGGCGGTCAATGCAGGACCAGAAGTGGGTGATCTTGGGGATACAGAAACATCAACAACGAGTAATCGAATGTGCAAGATAAGATGCTTACAAGGCAGGGTCAATTAGACAACGCGTGGTCCTCCTTTTGGCCCGGACAGGGTAGACGCATTCCAAGTCCTGTAAACTGCACCGACCACACTGGGGCATAACACGATTACAGCGGACCTTGCGTTCTTTGCATCTCATACACTCCGGAGGCTAGGTCAGTGAATAGTCCGGATGCGGGGGAGGGATCAGGGGAGAGCTCACCGAAAGACGGTTGAGCTCGTCCGGGCCCGCCATGGCTGAGTTTGACATTTGGGATCTACCGATCTGATAAGAGTCGGGGAGAACAATGGACCTTGGCGGGTGACGGACGAGAAGATGACGGACCGGAGATTCGGCGTCGGGAAATTCCCGCAGGCGGCCGGTACTGTAGGTGCAGTATGGTACGGCAGGGCAGGTCTAATACGAGGTTTTCACTGGCTTACAGGCGGCAAACAAATCTCCAAGGCGGCGCCGAGAGATGAGCACAGTCACGAATGGAGATGGAGGTTGGCCGCGGGCGGTTCTGGGGGTTGATGAAGGAGTTTGAGGATCCAAGGTATGACTCTATGGATACGGGGGACAAGCCATCGACGCCACTAGTAGCAAGCCTGCTGGGGTTACTACTCGATCGGGTAATTCGTCGAGAGGCCAGAGTCTTGGCAAAGTCCGAGAGTCCGGGCAAGGGTAAGACTGCTGGCCCGGACTTTCGGTCCTTGAATGTCCGAATACCCTCACTTGTATCCACTATATCCACAAGAATGTCCCGTGGTAAAGCCTGACATGGGGTATTGTGGATTTCGTCTTGGAGAATTTTCATCTTTCGCTAGAGTAATCAATTGAGTTTATTCGAAGGGGCTACGGTTGACAAATCCACTTAGCTGTGAAGTTTTCGCAATTGATATTGCTTTCTTTCACTATATATAAGAAAGAGACTTCCTCAATTGCATCCAATCTTATCTTCAATCTAATCATCACTTCTAATCTTGGTCCATTGACAACTCCAAACACCAACCGCTATGGGATCCGGTGCCCAATTGGAACACGGGATCGGTCCCATGAACTCCCCTATCCGCGCCTCTCATGATGACTCTACGTCGGCATGCACCGAAGTTTGCAACGAAAAGACAAACTCTGACACTGAAACCGAGGACTTGGAAGAAAACATCAACGAAGAAATGCTGGAGCTAGCACGTCGCCTCACCACCCAGTCTCAAGCAGCTCCTGGAACTCTCTTTCCTCAATTGGACGGACCGTTGAACCCCAAAAGCCCAGACTTTAACGCAAAGAAATGGGCCAAGGCATTTTACGAACTGCGGACCGACACCTCAGCGGGAAACCCACCAAGAACGACGGGTGTGGCGTTTAGGAACCTGAATGTGTTTGGGTTTGGCACGGATACAGATTTTCAAAAGAGCGTGGGCAACATCTTTCTTGAAGCTGGCACGATAGCCAAGAAGCTTCTACACGACAAGCAGAGGAGGGTGGATATCTTGCAGGATCTGGAGGGGTTGCTGCATAGTGGTGAGATGCTTGCTGTGCTGGGACCCCCTGGTTCTGGTTGTTCGACCTTTCTCAAGACGATTGCCGGCGATACACACGGTTTCCATATCGACGATGGTTCTGAGATAAACTATTCCGGTATTCGGCCCGAAGAGATGAGGTCGGCATTCCGAGGTGAATCCATCTACACGGCTGAAGTCGACCATCACTTTGCACACCTCACGGTTGGCGACACTCTCTACTTCGCTGCTCGAGCACGATGTCCCAAGAATATCCCCGAGGGTATTACGCGCCACGAATACGCCGAGCACCTACGAGACGTCACCATGGCCATGTTTGGCATCTCGCACACCAAGAACACGCGGGTGGGTGACGACTTTGTCAGGGGCGTCAGTGGTGGCGAAAGGAAGCGCGTGACTATCGCCGAGGCGGCGCTGAGTTATTCACCACTTCAATGCTGGGATAACAGCACGAGAGGACTTGATAGTGCTAATGCGCTCGAGTTTTGTCGGACCTTGAGAACGCAGGCTGATGTGATTGGGTGCACTTCTGCTGTTGCTATCTACCAGGCGTCTCAGGATGCTTATGATGTGAGTTAATAGATTTGCTGGTCTTGGTTCCTGTCTAACAGATGTGCTAGGTCTTTGACAAGGTTCTCGTCTTGTATCAAGGACGGCAGATCTTCTTTGGCAAGACGAGTGAAGCCAAGACTTACTTCGAAGGCCTGGGCTTTATCTGTCCTGAACAGCAAACCACGGCAGATTTCCTGACCTCGATGACAAGCCATCAAGAACGAGTCATCCAACCCGACTACGAAGGAAAAGCCCCACGATCACCTGACGAATTCGCCCAAGCTTGGAAGAACAGCAACCACAGAAGACGTCTTCTGGCCGAGATGGATGACTATCTCGAGCAGCACCCCTTTGGAGGCGAGCACTACGAAAAGTTTGTCATGTCTCGCAAGATGGACCAGTCCAAGGCCCAGCGACTCAATTCGCCCTTCACTCTGTCTTATATGGAGCAGATGCGTCTCACGCTCGGTCGTAGTTGGGTGATGCTCAAGGCAGATCCTAGCGTGACGATAACGCTCCTGTGCTGCAACCTGGTTGAGTCTCTCGTCATTTCCAGTATCTTTTACAACCTTCCAGAGAACACGGGGGCCTTCTTCAAGCGTGGACTACTTATCTTCTTCATCCTCTTGATGAACGCGTACAACAACATCCTCGAGATCATGACTCTCTACGCAAAGAGAAACATTGTCGAAAAACACGCCCGCTACGCCCTGTACCATCCAAGCGCCGAGGCTTTGTCGTCTATGGTGGTGGATTTGCCGTACAAGATCTTCAACACCATCATGATGAACACGACCATGTACTTTATGGGTAACCTTCGTCGAGACCCGGGACATTTCTTCTTCTTTCTTCTCTTCTCCTTTACCATCACGATGAGCTTCTCGATGCTGTTTCGACTGATTGCGTCTCTGACAAAGACCATCGCAGCGGCACTGGCTCGAGCTTCTATCTTACTCCTGGTTATTGCCTTGTACACTGGATTTGCTATCCCACCGCAGTACATGCCTGTTTGGATCGGATGGATTCGCTGGGTGAATCCGACCTTTTACGGACTCGAGAGTCTCTTCATCAACGAGTACGGTGGAAGAGAGTATCCTTGTTCAAACTTTGTGCCAGATGGACCTGAATATGGGGATGTTTCACCACTGTCGCGAGCCTGCAATGTCCAAGGGTCAGTGCCAGGAGAGAGCTTTGTCCGTGGATCTAATTACATCTCCTCAACGTATGGTTACAACGACTCTCACAAGTGGCGCAACTTTGCTGTTGTCATTGCTTTTACAGTCCTGTTCATGGGTCTTCACTTGTTGGCCACCGAGACGATTGCCTCGGAGAGGTCCAAGGGCGAGGTCTTGGTGTTTACGCGAAAGGGGATCAAGAAGCACTCTCCCAAGATTTGTGAAGATGAGGAAGCAGGCAGTCATGGAAAGCCGCAGCAGAACCACAACGACGACTCTGGGGAGGTTACCGATGTGGAAAAGCAGACGTCCGTCTTTCACTGGAGGGATGTGTGCTATGATATCAAAATCAAGGGAGAGCCACGGAGGATTCTGGATCACGTTGATGGTTGGGTCAAGCCCGGGACTCTGACTGCTTTGATGGTGAGTGATGAGCTGAGTTGAAGGTTTCTTTAACTAACACGATGGGACAGGGAGCTTCAGGAGCCGGAAAAACCACTCTACTTGATGTTCTCGCCAGTCGAGTCACAATGGGTGTCGTCACTGGAGACATGCTCGTTGACGGAAAGCTACGCGATGAATCATTCCAACGCAAGACAGGCTACATCCAGCAACAGGATCTTCACGTCCATACCCAAACTGTCAGGGAAGCCCTCAACTTCAGCGCCCTTCTTCGTCAACCTGCGAGATACACCCGAAAGGAGAAGCTAGACTATGTGGACACCGTCATCAGCCTCCTCGACATGCAAGAGTACTCGGATGCCATCATCGGCGTGCCAGGGGAGGGTCTCAACGTTGAACAACGCAAGCGGCTTACTATTGGAGTTGAATTAGCTGCACGACCACAACTGCTCCTGTTCCTAGACGAACCGACTTCTGGTCTTGATAGTCAGACGTCTTGGTCTATCTGCAACCTGATGGAAAAGTTGACCAAGAATGGCCAGGCCATCTTGTGTACGATCCATCAACCATCGGCTATGCTCTTTCAACGGTTCGACCGCTTGCTGTTGCTGTCTCGTGGAAAGACTATCTACTTTGGAGACGTTGGAAGAAACTCCAAGGTCCTTGTCGACTACTTTGTCCGCAACGGAGGACCAAAGTGTCCGGTTGGAGCGAACCCGGCTGAGTATATGCTTGAAGTTATTGGTGCTGCGCCAGGAGCTCACACGGACATTGACTGGCCTGAGGTTTGGCGGAACTCTCCGGAGCACACACAAGTTCAAGAGGAGCTCGGTCGGCTTGTTGCTGAAGGAAACCCGCACGTTCTTGGAAGTGCGACGGATGTGACAGAGTACAACGAGTTTGCTGCGCCTTCCAAGGTGCAGTATCTCGAGGTCACCAAGAGGTTGTTCCAACAGTACTGGCGCAGCCCTGGATACATCTACTCCAAGGTCATCCTGTCAGCTGGTGCAGTAAGTGTTCCCAAGTTTGCTTCCTATAACCAACTAACCTTTCCAGTCTCTCTTCATTGGATTGTCGTTCCTGAACGGCAAGAACACGGAGCGAGGCCTCCAGAATCAGATGTTTGGCGTCATGATCTTCCTTACCATCTTTACTCAGATTGTCCAGCAGATGCTACCTGATTTTGTGGCCCAGCGGACAATGTACGAAGCCCGAGAGCGTCCTTCAAAGACGTATTCTTGGAAGGCTTTCTTGGTGTCGACCATTCTGGTGGAAGCCGCTTGGAACTCGGTGAGAAAGAGTCTCTTTCATATGAGTGATCACGTACTGACTGAGAGTAGTTGATGGCTGTACTTTCATTCGTTTGTTGGTACTTCCCAACTGGAATGTATCGCAATGGTTACGCGACTGATGCGGTTGATGGCCGAAACGTAACCATGTTTCTACATGTCTGGATGTTCTTCATGTTTACGAGCACCTTTGCGCACATGATCATTGCGGGTTTCGAGACTGCAGAAGTTGCTGGTGGGCTTGTGACTTTGATCATGATCATGATCTTCTCTTTCTGCGGGTATGTGTCCTTGGTGTTCATGAACCCGACAGTGACTGACTCTCAGTAGTATTTTGGCATCACCAGAGGACCTCCCAGGCTTCTGGATCTTCATGTACCGTCTCTCACCTTTCACCTACGTAGTGGAAGGCCTCATGGGAACGTCAATGGCCAACGCAGAAGCAAGCTGCGAGCCAAACGAACTAATCAAGTTCGACGCCCCCAACGGCACCACATGCGGCGACTACCTGAAGACATACCTCTCAGACGTTGGCGGCTACGTCACGAATCCGCAGGCAGGCGATGGTGCTGCTTGCGAGTACTGCACCATTTCCGACACAAACACCTTCTTGGAGGGCATGAGCATGAGCTTTGATCATCGGTGGAGGAACTTTGGCATCATGTGGGGTTATTGCATTTTCAACATTGCGGCGGCGTTGGGCATTTATTGGCTTGCTAGGGTTCCAAAGAACAAAAAGGCGAAGAGGGAATAGAATAGAATGATAGAATATGTTGGTGGAATAAGTCTCTAGACGATCTTCTGGCTCAGAGTCCATCAAGGGCCGGTCTTTAACTATAATAAGAACACATTGTCAACACATCACAGCATTGTAATCTCGAGACAAGATTGGGAGCGGTCGTGGCCGAGTCGCCCTGATTGGCTGATAAATGTGGACATGAAGCTAATGCAAGCGGCTTATCCTGTGGAGTTCGTTCTCAAGGGTCCCCGATTGGCCGGTGTCTATCTCGGCACTTACAAGAGCCCTCGTGTTAGACCCAAGATCAAAGGACCGCTTGAAGAACCCATCTGTTTGACTCTCCAGATTCTGCAGCTGGATTACGCGCTAGTGCCCTAGAGAGAAGTATATTGCGTCAGTGGATTTCTTCGGAGCCCGAGAGAAGCGAGGCAAAGTTGGACAATGTCAGGGTAAATCACATATATAAGTGCAGATGAAGCCCTTCTTACATGGCTACATCTCTCTCATTTACTCATTGTAAATCCATCCGCTACATTTCTCTCTTCATCAATCTTACATCCACTACCATGGCTGATCGTTATGCCCAAGTTCATGAACACCCCAACGGCCCGGGGGACAGTCGCCCGACTGCGATCCAGATCATTCAAGACGAGGACTTGGTTGGAAAGCTGTCCGGGAAGGTCGCCTTCATCACTGGCTGCTCTTCTGGAATTGGTATGGAGACTGCAAAAGCCCTCCACCTAGCAGGCATGACTTTGTATCTCACCGCTCGCAACCTCGCCAAGGCGAAGACTGCTCTGGGGGATCTGATCGACAGTGACCGGGTTCATCTCCTTGAACTCGATCTCGACTCCCTTGCAAGCGTGCGGTCTTGCGCGGCCGAGTTTCTTTCCAAGAGCCAAACCCTCAATATTCTGATCTGTAATGCCGGCGTTATGACCCCTCCCGAAGGTCGAACCAAGGACGGATTTGAGACCCAGTTTGGAACCAACCACCTCGCCCATTTCCTCTTGTTCAACCTTGTTCAACCTGCTCTGCTGGCTGGAACCACCCCTTCGTTCGCTTCTCGAGTCGTGGTTCTTTCTTCTGTTGCTCACCGGTTTGGTGAGGTCAACTTTGAGGACGTCAACTTCGATGGCGGATATGACGCCATGGCTGCATACGCAGCCAGTAAAACCGCCAATCTTTGGACCGCCAACGAGATCGAGCGACGATACGGCTCGCAGGGGGTCCATGCATGGAGTGTTCAGCCAGGCGCCGTCCTCACTAACCTGGTGCGACACATGTCTGATGAACAGAAGGGGGCGCTTGATGGAGACGCGTACCTTGCCTCTATCTATAAGAACCCAGATCAAGGGGCTGCCACCAGCGTGTGGGGGGCTACCGCGAAGGCTTTGGAAGGAAAGGGCGGTCGTTATCTCGAGGACTGCCAAATTGCGAAGGAATGGGATCCTTCGTCAGGTCTATACACGCCAGGTTATGGCGCTCATGCCTATGATGAGGAAAAGGCGGGCAAGCTATGGGCGGAGTCATTGAAATGGGTAGGGCTGTAGGGACTGCCAGCTAGGAGCAAATAGAGAGCGACACCCGAATTGAACTATATTCGCGTCCTCGGCTGATGTTGACTTTGGCACACTCATCGGGGTAATGCAACCTGAGTTATTCGGAACTGCGTGTACGTCTGGCCTATGACAGGGGCAAGCGGCCTCTGTCAGCAACTCTGGTTCTGAAGCTTGGTGAAGCACTTTTGTACCCTGCGAAGAAAATCCTTCCTCCCGCATTGTTAGCGCGTAAGCCAGATACAGAATACGAAGTCTCATGCTTGGTCAAGGGTCGAAGAAGCGGTAGGGGGTGGGCTTCTGAGCAACCCAACGGAGATAACGCCTATACCCAAGCTTCGATGACACAACAAACAACTTTGTCTCAGGCATGACTTGATTGAGGGACTGAAACCTTCCCCCAGATACTGCAAACTAACGCAACTAGCTTATGTGTCATGTAAAACAGGATTCATCGCCAAGTCAACCTCGGCTTTTATATTTCAAAAATGAGCCTCTTCTCACCTCTTTTCCCCCTCCAATAGTTAGTGCCCTCGATGATTTCCGTGCACCCTCGTAGTAGAAACCCCCATTTTCGTAAAAAGGCAGGATTGGCTTCCCAGGCTTGGGGATCCCACGACCATCCCCACACAATCAACGAGGGTTTACTATCGAGACCCCGCGGATCATCCACCATGAGAAGGTCCTCACACAGCTCCTCATCGTCCACCAGCCCAGCTTCCATATACGTGAGCATATTATCGCGAAGCTGAGGAAACGGGAGTAAATCAATCCATGGATGATGCACTACCGTTGCCTGAAAGGACGTCGGCTGTAGTGCTGGGGGGCATGATGTGGCCGGTTGCGGGTTGTTGGAAAGTTGGGGCCCATTTGCATTGTAAGGGGAGATGGCCTCATCGCGACAGAGCCCTTCTGGCGGGAACCCCATGGAGATGGCGTTCCGAGCTAGCGCGTTGAGGACGTTCAGCCGGATGAGGACTGGCAGATACGCGGGCCGGGGTGCCTGTAGGGAGTAGTCCTCGTAGGCTTGTCTGATGAGACAAGTGATTTGGTTAATTCGATTAGGACATGTTAAAAGGGTGCAGCCCTGGAAAAGAGCTGCAATCTTATCGTCCGTGCTGTACTGAGGGAGTCCTGCCAATGTCACTTGCTGGACCTGAATCTCATTGTTCAAGTTGCCGATATCACTTCTTGGATGATGAACGGTTGAGCAACCAGAACTCGACTGGCTAGCTTGTTGTCTTTTTCTGCGGCCTAGAAAAGTATTTCATAACCCGAGTCAGCCCTTTGTTTAGCTTCCATAGTAGTTGCTCATCAAAACCAGGCAAGAGTTGACTGACGATAAGCTCGCTGACTGATGCGGTTCTGGAGTTTCTTTCTTCGGGTCTGATTCGTCACGCCCGTCCAGTCATCATCCGGTTTCCAGATATCAGGCCGTGTGCTCAGCGTGACTAGAGTTGGAATAGGGTCCATGATTGCAAATAGCTTTGTAGATGCGAACGGTGGAAGGTGGAACTGGAGGGGAAGAAGTGGAACTTGATGCAGGTGGCTTACCAGCCCTTTCAAATAGCCCCGCTCAGCCGCTATGATCATGTGATTATGCATTGCTGTTCTATCAAACCTTGAGAGGTGGAGGGCATCAAGTATAATTCCTAATTCTATTCATAACTAATTATCTTGCAGTATGCTACTGGTGCTTTAGACCCTCCTCCAAAATGTGACCCACAGTAACTTCAAGAGCCTTCTTGGTCTTAGAGTTCCTCAAGCCTTCTGCTGCCACTTCATTCATCTCAGTGGATACTTTAGAGCTCTGGTAGAGCTACAGATACTTCCGAGCATCGGCATCATTGTTAGCATATTTGACTAAATTCTTGCTGAGTTTGTTAAACTGATTGGATCGAGTCTCGATAAATTCTAGTGAGAGGGATGAGGCAGGTGGTGAGGAGTTACTCTGCGGCAGGTTTGCCTTTCAGTCTCCGGACTGGTCAGTTTTCACGAAGGATCATTGCAAGGGCTTGCCAAACATCACAGGCGTAAGACCTTGACTCTAGAAAGAGAAGTGAGATTTAATATGCTGAAGTCTCGTTCTTGAGTCAAGGGGTACTCGGCCATCTTGACCAAGTCTCGATCGTGGCTATGCTAAAGAGCGCTGGGTCCTTTTCTAAAAAAGCCAACTACGAATAAAGAGTGACCATATCGCCGCAATTAATACAAGTGGCTGTGTCGTTGGAATACGAAGTAGCCAGTGGGAACACTCATTGTAGCTTCGGTACTGCAACCCCGTAATTTCTCCACTGTTAACCAGACTTTTGTTAGTCTTTCTTATTGTCGGATTAGTTCATCCGTATACGATCGGATGACGCTTAAATTTGCCACTTGGCGGAAGCCAGAAAGGATAAGATTATAAGAGCCATCCATCCCGTGTTCAACGTCCTTCCCCACTCGAGATATTCTTCCATAACCCTCGCCAATATGTTTCGTCTAAACACCATCTTCGCATTGTTTGCCGTCGCGTTGTTCTCAGCAATCAACCTTGCCGAGGCCTCATCCCATGCCATTGTCGTGAGTCACAACTTTTGTTTATCTCAATGACACTGCTAATGAGTCTTCTCAGTTGCCGCCTCTTGGTGCTGACCCTTGTACTTGGGGAGTAAGCAGATTTGACCCGGGGTGAGCAGACCGTTTACTGATCTTGGGTGTAGCCCTCATTTTGGTGTGAAAACGAAGGGAATATGAAGAGATGTGGTGTCACCAAGGAAGATTGTGAGAGATATGCTGAGGACCTTCTATAGCCGAGGATAACTTGAGGTCGATGGGGGATATGAATATGAAGGGTTCATGGCTGATGATGTCTGACCATTGTAAATAGCCTCCTTCGTGAGTTGGACTATAGCTATACGGTAGCTGCATAATCCAGGCCAACTCACATCAAAGCCCTCACACCAATAAAAGTTCCATCAATTATGGATGGTCCGAGTCAACTTGGTCACACTTTCACGCTCCTCCCCCGAATTCAGGATAGCCATGTAGGTGAGTGAATCTGCCGAGGAATGCAAGGAACTCGGCATCTTTTTCCAACTTGAGTAGGATAGATTGTCTCTATTTAAGTTAGTGGATACCATGGGTAGCATTGCTTAGCGTCCAACTATTTCCGAGTTGTTGTGAATGCCCGTCACTACGTTGTCTGACAGCTAGCTGTGAAAGGGGACAAAACATCCAGGTCTGTCCAGGTTGCTTCCGTCTTTGAAGACTGTAATCAGACGATGAAGCCCCGGAGGCATAGTCTTGATTGTAACCGTGAGGCTATGCCATCTCGGCAATATGCAAGTTCCGTCGTTGGCTCGTCGCACCTCCGACCTCCGTCCGTCCTACAAATCAATGTGACGGGAAGCAATAATGGGCAATTATCATGGACCAAGATCATCACCCTTTTGAGATACATGAGACTCACACCATTGACCTCATTGGATAGACACTGCGATCCCTGCCTGTGCTAAACTGTGTTTGCTGCCTCTGCCGGTGACTAAGCGGCACTTCGGTGTTTTACACACAGGCTCAACGCCCAAGGCAAAAACAGTCTGGGAAATGATAGGGACCCTTTGTTTTGAGCGTCGTCGTTTAATTCCCTACCATGATTTCGGGAAATGATATCAAGTATTAGCCCCATCCATTCGTCACCTTTGAGGCTGAGGTTGATCAAGTTCGGTCGGTTCCCTGAAGCCCGTTCGCCGATCTAGAGTACTATATATGTCACCAGATATCACTACAACGTCACTTTGACAATCATCTCAACCTCTAATCAGACTAAAAAACCACTCTTTTCACGGAATATTTCATCGAATCATTTCAGATCCGCATCCTACGATATGGGCGCCAGCACATTCAAAGTCATCGTCGTCGGTGGTGGGCCCTCTGGCCTAACTGCCGCCCATGCCCTACACCTGGCTGGCATCGACTTTGTCGTTCTAGAGAGAAGGGAAAGCGTCGTCGAGGATGTCGGTGCAAGCTTGGTACTGGCACCTCCAAGCCTGCGAGTCATGCATCAGTTCGGTATCCTTGAAGAACTATTGGCCATTGGCAGGGAGGTTGAGTTTGGCAAGTCATTTGACCTGCAAGGGCGGGAGTTCAAGAACAGCACCAAGGTTCAGCTTTTGCGCACAAAGTGAGTTGCTCTTCGGAATATGGGAACTATGCTAACCCTCTGCCTTGTAGCCACGGCTCTTGCCCTGTTGCTTTTCATCGAGCTCAACTCATCCAGGTTCTATATGATCGTCTCCCCATAGAGGCCAAGAAAAAGGTCCATCTGGGGAAGAAGCTTGCCAGCATCGAGACCAACGAAAATGGCGTCACTGTTACAAGCGCCGATGGCAGCGTGTACCAAGGGTCCGTTGTAATCGGAGCTGATGGTGTACACAGCAAAACCCGCCACTTGATGCGCCAACTTGCCTTGCAAGATGACCCTTCTCGAGACTGGGAACCCGAAGAACCTTTTGCATCGTCCTACAAGTGCATGTGGGCAAGCTTCATGCGACCTTCTGAGGAAAGTGGCCAGAATTTCGACACCCAGCATCAAAACAAGAGTGCCATGTACATATCAGGCCGTGAGAGAAGTTGGATCTTTCTTTATGAGAAACTGCCGGAGCCAACAACCAACAGGGCTTCGTACGCTCAGAAGGACATCGAAGAGTTCTCTGAGGGGTTCATGGATTTTCCACTGACCGGGACACTCAAGGTCAAAGACCTGTGGGACAAGAGACTCACGGCTGGTATGGCGAATCTGGAAGAAGGAGTTGCTGAGCATTGGAGCTGGAACCGGATTGTGCTTGTTGGCGATGCATGCCACAAGTTTACTCCCAACGCTGGCCTGGGTTTGAACAACGGTATCCAGGACGTGGTGATGCTATGCAACGGCTTGCGGAAGGCTGTGTGTCATAGCTCCGATGGACCAAGCCAGGCTGTTCTGACCGAGATATTCAACGAGTATCAAAAGGTTCGGACACAGGCGCTTCAATCTGACGCGTCTCGCTCAGCCGGAATGACGCGCATGCATGCGTGGGAGAACACAAAGTATTACCTCCTGTCGAGGTATATCATGTCGTCGCCGCTGGTCGAACACGTCTTGATCAATGTCCTCGGGGCAAGAGGGATGCGTGAGTCGCTGGTATTGGACTATGTCCCGTGCGAGGAGCCCATGCGAGGAAAGGTCCCTTGGAGACATGCGATGCCTGAACCTGTGAAGAGTGGTTAACAAGGAGACGTGGGATAGAGGGGGATTCTTGACATCGGATCAATGGAGTTGGTGTTTGAAAGGGCCAAGTTAATGATAGAGGGATGCTTACAAGAACAACCCACAAGAATTTATCCTGCGCTACTTTTTCTATGGTTAGGGTTTTAAGTTAGATAATAGAAAAGACTCATAGCATCTTACTAAGAAGTTCCTTCGATATCCGCTCTCTCAATCGACCTTGGAGGGGTTTGATTTAGTCCCCAGTTGGGCCTCTGAACAATGTGGAGATTAAACGACCAGATGCTCCAAGATGATGACAATCTTCCAGGCTTCTTTATCAATGGCTTCCCATGATTTGGACCCTGGTGAGGTGGATCAGTCCATGCTCGCTGGTGAGACCCAGTTGCGTGCACCGGAATGCGGTTCAGCTTCCCCGTTTGAGTAATAGGAAAACTATGATAGATCATACCTTGCTTACGAGGGCGGTCTCTGACGTCTGGCCTTAGATCTAAGCGAGCCTTGTACGAAATGGAGCAAATTCTTCCCTTCACTACACTCGCTCGACTTCGATGGCTGCAGTCCCTGTGCCACAACATCTCCTGTGACAAGAACCTGAGGGATAGCGAGAGCGGGCTCCAGGGGGAGTGCAACTCAACGACAGAGACATTATATACAACTATCTAATGCCTCAAACAACTTGGTAGCAGATGTATAGAAACAACTCTGCTGGCTAGACACAGACGAAGCGAGCTTGACGTTGTCGATACCTGATTAGCCCAGGCAGATAGGGACAGTGGCGCAGCCCTGGTAGCAACGAGCAATATCTACGGGGCTACCAGGGCTTAAATTTACAAGTCCCCACGATATCGATCACGACATTGACCTAAAGACACAAGATGGAAGATTTTCAAACTAGGTCATGCCCCGGCTAAATGACAGCGTAGTATTATAGCATAGGCGATAAGACCTAGATCCTCCTAACGACTTAGACAAGGGTCGAATTTGTGCTTTTTGCTGGCGATGGCGTCTTCGCCCTCGAACTAGGTCACTGATCCTTCTGCACTGTAACGATGAACCGGGGGACGATGAGGGTGAGCACGCCATTGTATAGTGGTGGAGTTATAAGGTTGGTTTTCCCGATTTACTATTCTACACAGTAAAGCGACTCACCGGAATAGTCTTTATCCCCTACGTTTCTGGCCCAGAAACCAGTCGTTTATCTCATCCATCATGACACAAACCAGGGACGACGAGGTCACCGCCGTGTCCGTGGAGGAGCCGTCGTCGCAATTCAACTTCAAGACCGCTCAACGAGGTGGAAAACACCATGAGATCCTCGAACGCCCGGATCATGAACAAAGGCACTGATGCGAACATCTTGACCGAGCTAGGTATTACCAGTGACCAGTACAGCTTGATCACTATTTTGTATACTGTAAGTAGTCTGGATATGTCTCCATACCCCATCACCTGCTCAACAGCGTGCCACAGGTCCCTTATATCCTAGCTGAAGTTCCATCAAACTTGGTCCTGAAGTGGATCAGGCCCTCTCGTTGGCAGTCCCGAATCATGATCAGTTGGTAAGCTTGCTCCGTGCAGTTCTGTCTGTTGAGCCGGCTGGGGCAGAGGCATTACTGACGCGACGCTCTCACTATACAGGGGTATTGTGACGGCTTGCACGGCTGCAGTCTCGAATCTTGGTGGCTTGTACGCGGTGCGTTTCATGCTAGGCCTGACCGAGGCTGGAATGTTCCCGGGCGTCATCCTCCATCTAACATACTGGTACCGCCCTGATGAGATTGCTGTCAGGCTCGTCTGGATCTGTAGGTTCCCAGATCCGCACGATTTACCCGGCTGCTGACATCACGCCCTTAGTTACCGTTGGCAATATCAGCGGCATCATCAGTGGTCTTCTTGCTTACGGTTTCCATGAAATGTCGGGTGCGGGGGGTATAGCCGGTTGATCGTAATGCTGCTTGCTTCCCTAGAGTGGACGCCTGAAACGCAGTTGCTGACACGTAGTCCAGGCTTTTCATCATTGAGGGCATTGTCACTATCCTGCTTGCGTTCGTCATCTGGTTCCGCCTGCCTGATTGTAAGTCTAGATGAACCACTACGGCACTCCTCAGACGCTGACCATTCATCAAGTTCCCGGCACATCAGACTGGCTCACACCCAAAGAGCGAGCCTTTCTCCAGGCCCGCCTGCCCGTGGCCTCACCCAGGTCTTCCGAGAAGGACTTTGACATGAGAGAGGTTATCAAGACACTCCGCGACAAGAGACTCTGGCTCTTCACCCTCAGTTGGGCACTCCAGACTTGTGGTGCCAGCGGCGTCAAGTTCTACCAGCCGTCCATCATCGCCAACATGGGCTTCAGCAGCATCGCAACCGCCCAGATCCTTAATATCCCCATGTCCGTCTTGACCATTATCATCATCCTCACCGCCGGCTACGTTTCAGACAGAGCCAAGTTCCCGTTGCCGCTCTTTCCCATCACTAGTACCATCATCGTCATCGCTTCCTACGGCATCCTCGTCGCATACCCCAACGATATTGCCGTCTATATCGGTATGTAATCCTAGATCTAGGCGCCTGATACCTTGGATACTAACGATTCACAGGAATGTTGATCGGAAACAGCTTTAGCATTGCCTGGTTCCCGGTAAGTCTACCTTGAGTACCTATGCTTAGTACTTGAAATAATTACTGACCCTACCTCTTAAGATGATGTGGTCGTGGCGTTCCCAGACCGTTAGCGGTGCTACAGGCTCAGCGTTTGCCATCGGCTTTGTCAATAGTTATGGGCAGATTGGAGACGCCGTTGGACCCCAGATGTTCCAAGACAAATACGAGCCACGATACAGGTTACCTTTTGCCCTAGCCATGTCCCTCATAGCCGCCTGTGGTCTCACTAATAGCTACACGTGGTGGGTTACCCGCCAGACTGAGCGAGATACTCGGAGGCATAAACGTGCAAGGCTGGAGGCCAAGCGCAACAACGAGGCTATTCTGGACGATATCGTCGATCATGATCTCGACGGTACTCGCAGGGACTAGTACGCCGCCGCTGTTGGAGCCTGGGGAATTGGCCGACTGAGACAGCCATGAACAGTCAATCTCTCATTGTTCCTCGGGTTGGACCACAACGATAGATTAAGATACACAGGCACTTGGACATGCCCCTGATCTTTTGCTGGTGGAGCTTCATTTTGGTGGTGATATCACGTCTGGCTTCATGAACCCTTTGCGATCCGGGAGGTTTTATGTATCAACAGTAATATTGGCAAGGATCTAGCATGACTATCTCTAGCCCGCTCTACCTGTATCTAACTCTATACTCAAGCCTCAGAAGTCTTCTTATTTCTTCGGAAACCCACAATCTGGATCATCTCAGTCCAGAAACCAATCGGTGGCTCAGTGAAAGTATTCTCATAAGCCTCAATCTGAGGTCGCTCCCAGACCAGGTCGACCTCGTGGGGCTTGATGTAACGCGTGCGCTTAAAGACCTTCCATCCGGCATAGAGAAGAACAGCAAGGATTTGCATCGAGTAGTTCTGGAAAAAGATCTCGACGTCAAACTTGGGTCGGAAGGCGTAGTATCCGTATGTGAGGAGGACGACAAACTGGATGACCAGGGCGATGTAGGCTCCGTAAGGCTGGAAGTATCCGTAGTAAGGACGCTCCGTCTTTCGGTCGACGCCCTGGGCGACACAAGCCTTGTGGTAGTTGATGTAGGTGATGGACATGACGATGAAAGTGATGAGACCACCACCGGTGATGATGCTCACGAACCAGCCCAGAACCTTGGCAGAGCCGCTTCCGACCTGAAGGAACGAGAGGAAGGGGAAGCACATGACGATGAAGAAGCAGTAGACAGGGACACCCGCCTTGTTGCAGTATCGGAGGAATCGAGGGGCACGGCCTTCAAGAGCCAGCGAGTAAAGGGCTCGAGTGGCACAGTAGGTATAGGTGTTTCCGGCGGAGAAGATGGAGGTGAGAATCAGGAAGTTGACCAGGTGAGGCAGGCCCTTGATACCAAGGTTGGACATGGCGATGACATAGGGAGACGCAGCCGCGTTACCAGAGCCACCGCTTCCAAAGTAGATTTCGACGAGAGCAGGATCGTTGTAGGCGCACACGATGCCGATGGCCAGGGCACCGACAATGAAGAAGATGCAGAATCGGTAGTAGACGGTCTTGAAAGCCGACTTGATGTAGTAGGTGGGACGCTTGGCCTCAGCAGAGACCATGGAGATATACTCGGGACCGACGACGGTGAAGGAAGCGCTCCAGAGGGCGGCGAGGAAGCCTTCGAACCGGCCTTTGTCGCCTCCGCTTAAATATGTCGCAAATGACCCGGGATTTGAGAAATGCCGGAAGCCGTCTACGGGTGGTCAGCAATGGTCAGCAGAGTAGAAACAAGTCTGCACTTACAAGCATCATGCTGTGGGTTGCCTCCGCACATGGTAACAAAGGTAAAGGCAAAGAGGATAAAGATGAGAACGAGTTTGCCTCCCGAGAGCCAGAATTCAGCCTCGCCGTAGAAGCGAACCGCGAGGATGTTGAGAAGTCTGTCGACCGTCAGTAACTAGATGCGACTACCATGGGCGCAAACTTACCCGTAGCACACAATGACAGCGGCGCAAATGCCAGCCGTAGGTCCAGGGTCCGTCGCATTCGAGCTCCAGAAGGCAATGACAGAGGTCAAGGCAGTAATCTCAAACGGAATAAGCAGAGCCTCGTAGAGGAAGAAGTTCCAGCCAGCGACGAAGCCCAGGGCATCATCGACCCAGTATCCTGCCAGGCGGACAAAGCCACCCGCGATGGGCATGTATGTGTTCATCTCGGCGATCGAGTTGTTGACGAGGGCGAGGACGAGCGAGTAAAGGGTATAGGCGATCAAGAGACTGCCGGGGCCGCCCTTGGCGAGACCGCCTCCGATGGAGATGAAGAGGGCCGTACCGATGGAGCCACCAGCGGCGATGAGCTGGATCTGACGGTTGCCAAGGCGCCGATGGAGATGGCCCATGTTATCCGTGTCGCCATGATTAAGGCTGCCGGCGTCGGCAAAGTCGGCCTTGGGGTGCTTCTCCTCTTCTGCATTCATGGCTGCGAATAGATGGAGGGGGAAAAAAGGACGATTGGAGAGGGTGAGATTGTGAGGGACAGGCAAGAAAAAAAAAAAAAGGAAACGATTGACAGGAACACAAGGCCATTAAATAGACCAGGTTCTCATAGATAGCAAACTCCAAAAATCCTGGCCAACGTCGCACTCAATTGGCGTTGAGCTGAACCCTTGCCCTGCTTATCTCAAACCCATGATTAGAGTACACCCTCCCAAGAGATAGCCAACCCAACATCCATTGCCCCCCCGCGCTACTAGCGATGGATGGGGAAACGCCTGCCCGACACTTTTTGCCAAGGGTGGTTCCAGGCCTTCACGATTCTGCATTAGCATCCCTATTGACCTTCAAGTCTGACAAGATGTAGACTACGCCCTTTCTTTCCCCAGATTCTTTGCTTTGTCCGGTTCCACCGACGGGACGGGGGCTGTTTCTCTGGGGAAGCGACAGTCTGGGGAAGCCCGATGAGCGGGAGCGTCACGTAACGGATACCACCCTTTGCCCGACTCCAAAAAACCTCGAGCCATTCCCATCGCCACATAGTCAGGCAATCATGCCCCATTCAGGTCTAGCCTTCAACCATCAGCCCTCGTTAGCCCCGACGCTATGGGAATCCGGGGAAGTTGGGGGAGGTGAAGCTGAAGGGCTTCTCCGAAAGCAGGCCCTTGGCGCGTTACATGTGATGGCTGACACCCCCATGCAAGGGAAGAGAGACGCCTGCGGGAATACCTTGCAGGCCCAACGACGCCGTTGGGACAACACACACACACACAGCTTGCCACAGAAAACATCGCCGAAGACGCCACTGGCTTCTCTGGATTCTACGCGATTTGGAGACTCTCCGAGCAAGTCCCGAGCGATATCTGCTATCAAATTCCTTATCTACGTACGATCCACCTCCTTGATACTTCTGATTCAAGACCGTGCTGATCCACTAAACAACACCAGGCCCCCTCGGAATAAGAAACCGATCCCTGCTCTCTCTGTAACCTGTTGACTTGCCTCCGCACCATCCCTCCTCTTCCTCCTCACGGCGTCTCCGCAGCCTAGTCTCAACCCCTCCACCTTTTCTCCAATCAATCCCCCATGGTTCTAGTTCAGCGGCATGGGCCTCCCTGCTGGGCCATTCTGCGGACTGACGCCACAAAAGAGAGCTTGCCCATTAACTGGCTCCTCGGGTTCCGAACCCGAAGCATAAATAAGCTTCCCCGTAGAGGCTCTCTCCCCGTACAACCGGACAAGTCAGTAAGCAGGACCACTTACCGCGTCACCCGGGCTTGAAAAGGATCCCCGCGGACCTGCGGCAAGCCTAGCCACGAAGCTAATCTGCCAAGGCTGCTAACTATCACGTATGCTTTGCAGTAGCCTACGAGAAGCGCCATATTTGTCAATCTCCACTAATACTCCAGAGAATTATCCTCCAGCCCATCCGTATAGATACGGGGAGTTCATTGCCTGCCCTCTGCAACCGAAGGGGGCAAAGCAGGGACCAAGGTGATCATGCGGTGACGATAACGAGACCCTGGAAAGGGTGAGCAAACAGTAGCCGAGATGCACAATATCCTGCTTTCTATTGGCAGCATCCCCGGTGGTTCGTGGGGTTTTGGCCACCCTTGTTATTGCCGCAGTCTGCTGATCAGCATCACCGACGGGCTGGGTCGAGAGTCGGAAGACGCCAAGAATCTGGATTCAGCCAAGATTTCAACGTAGAAAAAAATCACTACGCGAGATTCAAGCTGCCTCTGGTGATGTTTTTTTGATCACTTTGGAGGTGCTTAGCGGCTGAATGGTGTGAATCAACACCAAAGCTTCGTTTTATGGGAGGTCGCGCCATCTCGAGGCGCATAGATGCAGGCAACTCCTGGATGAGTTTGAAAGGGTTCTTCAATCTATTTTTGAGATTGTGAGAGACAGAGGTTCACGAATCTGACCTCCTTCAGATGTCAACCTCTTAGCCTCGCCCAGGATTTGCCTTTGGCTCCTACCCTGAATTTAAACTGTATACTATGAGAGCCCAGGTTCTAGTTTGCGAAACTCGAGTTGTGTGGTTTTCTGTGCCGTTTTCTGGAAATTACTTTGCATCTCAGGCTTCCATTTCTCCGTTATCAAGGCCGTCTTCACTGCCTCTGCCTCGTCATCATATCATCCGGACTCGAATCGCTTTCGTAGCCCGCATGGTGCTCGCCAATGCCAGGTATACATCTTCCTCTGCTACAGAGGAAACCTAGATCGATCGGAAATACTGACCACCTACTGGCATATGAAGCTAGGACCTCCGCAGGGGGTTGATCGCGACCAACAAGGTGGCTTGAATCAGCGTTGGCCCTGGCTAATTCCTATTCAGCCGTGGTTAGCTTAAGCGCTCACAACGATAAAGGAAGCTCTTCCATTCCGAAACAACTCAACATACCCTATCGCGATTTCCCGTAGCTTTGAAAGATGGCCATATCATGCTTGGCAGGCCATTTACGGGATGTTCGAAGATCATTATGACGAGCGACGTTTTTGGCCATGCGTAAAAAATCAACCCAACGAGTGACAATACATAATTGACGCAATAAGATCAAGGTAAAAAGGTTTCGTATGCTACTATTGGCAATGTAGTTTATGCTGTTGTTCTCTTGGCTGATAAGAATCCAGACCACGTGATCGGCATTGGAACCGATCCTCCGTCGACATCCCCTGTCACGGCGTAAGCGTCATTACCCAAATCAGAAGGTGTCGAAGCATCCCTGCTTAGACTGTATCCCTTGGACGATGAATAGCATCCTGATATCAGCAAGAGATGAATTGTACAGAGCTGATCTCGCCTCAAGTCAAGCAAGGCGACAATCATGTGCGCTGTCAACCGCACACAAGCAGGGCGCGGCTGAAGCTTATGCAGCTAACTTGAAGCAGTAAAACTGGTGAGTACACGACAGTCTTCTAGAATCACTTTGCTAGCGTTGACAGGCATGACACTCCGCGGCTGTACACCATCAACGGACTTGGTCACCGCTCGGGCGTCATTGGCTCTGTCTCCAACGATGACCTCGCTGCCCCTTTCGTTTCTGAGTCGGGGTTGCGCTAGGCAGCAGCATTGGTGTGATACGTTGACCACCACCTTGGTCGTCAAGCCTAGTCTCCCAAGACGGTGCTAAGCTAGACACCGCTATGGGTTAATCAATACAACAAGGGCAGCTTGCATGAGCACCTCCTCGAAGACGGCGATGGACTCCGGGCCCCGATACACACTCGATGCCCTCGTCTATGCTCTCGGACACTCGGAAAGGATTCGGTGTTGGCTCAGGACGGTTTCCGAGTCCGCGTCACCGAACTCTTGTCGCTTGCGTAAACACTCGCTTCTGTATCCACGCGAATGGCTTCTATCTCTTAGGTTTTGGCACATTGAGACGTGGGGTTAGCCAATAAGACGTGCATTCATGGCAGGAGGCGAGGGCCTTGGCGATGGCTGCGCCTCTTTCTACCTTGGCTAATTTGGTGCCGACACGTCAAGCTCGCTGCAGTCTTGATGCAGCTATGTACAAGATGAGGCAACCCATTCCTTTCACTGCACCCGGTTCTCGTCACGAAACCTGTTCCGCATGTCTCCTTGTCACGGAATGAATGCTCAACCTCCGGTCCCCCACCCCAGTCCATCTCATGGGCATACATCAAACCAGCCCGACCATAGCACCCCCCTCAAGCGTTCGCTGGGTTTTCCATCCCTTCTTTCCCTTGCACGTATTGTCTAAACTTCTCGGGCAGTCCTTCATCTCTCAGTTCCCACGGCGGCGAACCACTCCTTGATACTCTGGCCTTCAGGCCGAGCTCCCTTCCCCTCCAGTCTCCCAGCAGAACCAGAAGCTCAGGTTTAGCCATGACCTTTTCACGGAGTATGTCTAGCGTATGAGCCCAGCTTCCATCCCACAGGTTGATCATGTCTAGGAAAAGGTCGTCCAATGACGGGCTCAGGTCGAGGCAGAAACGGACCAACTCCTCCTGAGTGAAGGTCACACCCATGATGTCGAGGTACTTGATACGCGGCCAGCTGATCGATGAAAAGACACCACTTAGGTGGCAGGGCTCTACCCACCCAATATCTCTGTCTACCAGACCGAAGCCGCTCAGATCAAGCTCGACGTTTTCGAGACATTGCCCGGAGAGGACGGCGCCGATATAGGCCTCGATAAAAGCTCTGCCTTCGGATGGTATATAGACCGTCCGGTCTTGCCTGTGATACTCCCAGCCCACATCCTGGAGCTCAAACCCCTTCAACTGCTGGAACGCTGACTGGAGGTCATGCCACGCAGCAGCGTCCGGCGAGATGTCAAGCCCAGGACAAATGTCTGAAAAGTTGCTCCGCACCGGGAGGCAGGAGGAGAGACGAAAGTACTCGAGTGATACACCTGCTTTATGCAAGGCGATGGGGAGCTCAGAGATGATCCTGGCCTGCGGGAGACTGACCTCGCCGTCCATATGATCCAGCGAGGAACAAGTGTGCGCATCTGTCAGAAATTCGCAAAGTACATCTGTGTCCCCGAAAGCCTCCCAGTACTTGTCCATGTAGTCGTCCTCATCCTCGTACCTGATACCTCGGATACTCAGGGATAGCGGCTGCTGGCCTTCAGGCAGTAAGGATGCAAAGGTGTTGACAAACGTCCCCTTCTCAATCATTTGAAGCTGCTCCTCGTGTAATCTGGCGTATTCTTTATGGCTTTGCAGCAGAATGCTTTGATAGGCCTGGACTTGTTCATCCGGCTCATTGGCGTCTTTACCTTGAATGACATTATCCCAAGCTCGTCTCATGGCCATTCGGTTGTGCATCTGCTCGGCAGAGACCTTTTCGAACTTGGGCGTGCCGTTTCCAAAAGACATAGACAGCCCACTTAGACGAGTTGGACTCTCAAGAATGTTAACCAAGGCGTCATCCTTGATCTTGACGAACTTGGCCAAGTCGGTGGCGAACTCTGCTGGGCGGTACTCAAGAGTGATGTGTATTCCGATGACTCCGCTAGCGATTTGCCGATTGCTCAGCAGCTCTTCTACACGGCGTAGTGATTTTCCTTCAAAGTCAACTTTAAGGACTGGGAAAAGCAGTGGTGAAGCCAGGTCGTGGAAGCGACGACACGTCAAGCGCAAACTGCAGATATTTTCGTCGGGATCTTGACCCCACCAATTCTGCCACTGGACACGATCTTCATGTACGAAACGATCTTCTCGGAAGAAATCCAGAATTTGGACGAGAATGTCTATGGGGAGGTTGGTCAGGTTGGTGGGTTGGGGGTTGGGAGGAGGCGATATTTGTTGCTCCACCATGATTGCGATCGGCTGAGATGGCGGTAACTAGAAAGAGAAGAAGTGGGGAGCTAAGAAAAGAGCTGTAATGAGCTCTTATACATAATCTATTGACCGTTAAACTCAAACTTGAGTCAGTCGGAGTGAGTCATTGATCCTTTGAGGCGTTTCTGTTGGGCCATGAGATGCCGTGTTCCGAGCTAAAATGTTGGTTCCAACATCTACTTCCCCCTGTCCCAAATGAGCCGGCCTGTTGTCGCAAAATCTTCAGCACCCAAGTGCCGTCTTCGAAGCTCTTCCTATTTATGCCTCTAATTATCCATCTCTTAAATCACAGTTTTGCCCGTGGCTCTTCCTTCTCAACCACCTGCCTAAATGCCTTTTCAACGTCATGCTCACTGATCCACGAAGGATCCATTCTCTGAGCCACCCGCTGTCGAAGCTGCTCATCAGTCTCGGTCTTGGCTCTCTCAATGTTGGCCTTTTGCCCAGCCAGGTTCTTGTGGACGACGCCCAGAAGCCTGTTGACGTGTGGCTGGCGGGTAGCTTCGTATATCCTGAAGATCTCAGCAATCTCTGCTTTAGTAGGCTTTTCTGCGTGAGTAGAAGATGATGGCCAGACGTGGTTGAGAGCGCTAGAAAGGGCGAAGGCATCGTCGATGGCTAGGGAGCCTCCAGCGGCAAAGGCGCCTCCATGGGTATGCGCAGCATCGCCGACAAGCGTTACTCGGTTATCAAATGACCACGTATCAAGGGCAGCGCCTGCATAGTTTGGGAACAGTCTGACATATGGAGCTGCATCAATGAAGGCGCGGATAGTCGGGTTCCAGTCCTGAAGCTCAATCAGTGAGGGTACAGCCATAAGATGGCATTTTGCCCACCTTGTATATGTCCTTGAACTGCTCAAGGCTTCCAAGCTCATCCCATTTTGCATCCTTCCCTGGAGCATTGGGGTCGGAAGGATCGGCATGAAATCCTCCAACAGTTGTGAAAAGGCCCTTGCCTAGAGGTATGAACATGAGCCAAGGTTCGACAGGCATGGAGTGTTATCTTACCCAGGTGCGAGTGGAAGAAGGTGTTGCCGTGGCCAATCTGATTGGGAAGTTAGTTAGCTGACCAACCAACTCAGCAGAATGATGAGTTCAAAACTCAGAACTGGCTGAGAAACATCAAACACTCACCCAATGCGTTGCGTCTTGAGGGAAGTCAAGGTCTCCCAAACGAGAGGCTTCAAAGCTTGCGCGGAGTGCAACCCAGCCGCTCCAGTGCAGCTCATGGTTTGGAACAAACGACTTGCGTACAGCCTGTATCTTGATCAGTAATGGGACATTTACGATTGAAGCCTGACGCACCGAACGAATGCCATCCGCTCCAATGACAATATCCGCCTTGGCAGTTGAACCATCCTCAAAGTAGAGCGTGGCACCAGTATCAGGATCAGCCTTGACGTCGGCTGTCGTCTTGTTCAAGTGAATGATCTCTTGTGGAAGATTCTCGAGCAGAGCTTGGTGAAGATGGGCTCGGTGGAAACGCGCGGTAAAATGCTTCTTGTTGGTAACCGTCTTGTGCACATCGCGGTCAATGACCTCCTCAGTCTTCCAGTGTCGGTAGATCATGGGGTAGTCTGACTTTTGCCGCTGAGCGAAACCCTCGGCGAGGGCATTCTCAACCCCGAGCTTCTCCAGAGTCCTCAGACCGTTGGGGCCCAGGGCAATGCTGGCGCCAATCTCCTTGAACTCTGGGGCGCGCTCGTAGACCTGGACACTGACTTGGGGATGCTTGAGAAGGGCAATTGCGGTAATAAGCCCGGCAATTCCTCCTCCGGCGATAGCGATCTCGAGCTTGGGAGATGTAGGCGCTGCTTGCTCGCCGGTGTTGTTCGTGGTGGCCATGATGGGTGTGCTTGTAATCAACTCGGTTCTTCTTTGCCGGCCAGCATATCAAGAATCAAGAAGTAGGGGAATATGGCAAATTTGAATACCTATATGATAACGGTCGGTGTATTACAAACCCGGAGCCGAAGACGCAGGTTGCACTGCGATGCTATCTCGAGCACGTCATCCGTAATCCCCGCCTATTCCCCACGCGCGCCTAGTTTTCGGCGTAGATAGCCAATACAGATGAGAGGTTTCGGTGCTATAGGCAATGATGCCATCAGCACATTCGATGGTGAAGACCGAAATCGCAGGACGTGCTGCTATTGTCAATCCACGAATCACGGCTGGTACTTGTGTCATGAGCTGTCGCGCTTGGCACTGAGATAACACAAGTATGAGCTTTCTGGTCTTTGAAACGTACTTGATGGCTTGGCGAGATTGTTTTTTCGTATTGAAGTTGACCCAAAACCTCCCATGACCGGCAAAGGGTGGTGTCTTATAGTTGACCAACTCTTAGCCAGTCGCCGTTCGGGAACGATGGGCCAAGAATGCTGTAGTTTTTAGCTGAAGTGGGCAGTCAAAGAACAACTAAATGGTGCTTTATCCTTGACCTTCGCCTTAAGGACAATAGGCGTCCTCTAGCGTGAATGAACGAGGCCGGGATGCTTCTTGGCCATCTGTTTCTCCTTCAGGGGCAGGGGGTTCAGGGCAACTCAACAAAGATGGGACAGCTGTAACGGAACTGAAGATTACACTCGAGTTTCAATGGCACAATAACAATTCAATATTTCACCCTCATAATGACACCGTGATAGCCTTGAGGGAGGGGAAAGAGGGAGGGGAAATAAAGTCATGATGCCCTCAATTTCGGAAGCCCGCCGCGTATGGATTATACCTGCATGTACGATCCCTGAGGATAAATGGCGCACAGACGTCTCACTAATATCTCGCTCTCGAGTTTCAAACGGTACCCTGAGCAATAGAGACCTTAAGGGCAAAATGGCTTCTGATTCAGGGTCACTCATTGTAACATGGATCTCAATAAGAGCCTGAAGATCGAGCCGTACTCACGTGATAACGTGTCTATCGAGATGTTTCACTCAAACCCGTGTGACGCAATTGGTTAGCGTGTCAGACTTTTAATCTGAAAGTTCGTGGTTCGAGTCCGCGCACGGGTGTTTTTTGCACCTTTTTGCTTCTATTTTTGCTTCATCTGCTCTTCCACCGTGATATCTTGATGGCGATATTTCTGATTGTGATGCCTTTGTGAAGGGAAAGCCTTGGAGGATGGTTGCTTGGTCCGTGCGGTGGACCCGCATGTAGAGATGTACTTCCGCAATCGGCAACTACCCTGGATTGAGCACTCTTCAACGGGAGGCATTGGGACAGTTCTTGATTCTTCTTGATTCAGCCTTTTGACGTGTTCGACTATATAATCGCACCACTCAGACCCAACATTTAACAAAATCCCACATGTTGAAACTTCTTCTACATGCGGCAAATGCCTGATTGAGAAGCTAACGTACGAACCTCGTCCAATCCTAAATTGTAGACTTGGATTCTCTTAGACATAGCGAACTCAAAGAAATGAAAGTTACGTCCACGACGAGAACATCATGGTTAAGAGGGCTCAGGCTAGAATGATAACATCATGCAGCGGGACCAGGATCAGGCATAAAAGCGTATCTCTGTGAGAGCTTTGCCTAAGCAATCGGCATAACGATAAGTGGGAGTTGAACATATAGTCCTTTCTATCGCCACGAGCTTTGTGTATAGTTGGATTATCCACTGATGACATCAGAGCCCTACTACAACCAGCCGTGAACCTGCTCGATAGAAACTCCTCAACCTCACGATTCTACGTAACCGAGGCCTCCGAAGCAAAGCCCGTGCTCTTGTTTCGGTTGTATGGATCTCACTAAGATGATGCGCAGATATTGCGGTGAAACGGACAACTCAACCCTGCGACCTCGCTGGCATCGGACGATCGGTGGGGTGATCACATGACTTGGTATGGACAAATAAAACCACCAAGGAGACGCAAACCCCTCCTCTCAAGTCTCCATTCTCAACAACAATTCAACAAGATCCACCGAGTGATATTGCCCCATCAATATATTGTGAGACACTTTGGAGCAGAAATTCACACAAGAAACCCACGAGATCTACGATAGAACTCATATCCCGGCAATTTATCCATCATGGTCTACACAATCGTCGTTCACCTCTACGCCAAGGATGACCAAGAGTGCATCGATAAGCTTTCGGCCAAGCTCATTGAGGCTAGCCGGGTCTACTCTAAGGACCAAGAGACCATCTCCTGGTTCGTGATGCAGGACATCAAGGATCCCCGTGCCTTCACAATTGTTGAGCGATATGAGCAAGAGAGCGTGGCGCCGTCTAGGCGCACAGGTCCTGTGTGCTCGGGGCACAGCCCCCCCTGTCGGCAGGCTAGGGGCACAGTCCCCTGACTAAGCATTTCCTTCCGTTGAATCAGGAACTGACTGAATACACCAACGCATTTAACAGAGTCGATTACTACCTTTCAAATATGATTGCTGAAATGGGGGTGGGGAGAGTTATCCAATCCAAATTTACACAGCTACGGCAACTAGAGGATACTCGACAGCTTTTGTACCAAGTGATCGTCTAATACCCATTACTTCCAACAATGATACAGTCTTCTGTGCGCCCACGAGCTAAGTGCAAAGCATCTTGTTCCCTACTGTCCGCTTCGATTCTCCCCCAAATATCTTTGACTCCCCTTCTTCTATTCGCTAAAGGATCGTCTCCCATCTCCTCGGCAACCTGTGCTTCAACTCGCTCATCCTCCGCTTTACTCCAGTCCAAATACGCCATCATCTCTTCTTTCGTCCAATCTCTTGATCCTGTTGACGTGACACAGCGCTTGGACATCTGCTTGTAGTCCAAGCACCACTCGTAGCTCGGCTTGTCATACCTTAGTGGGAGTCCCATTGCCCTGCGATATTGTTGGTTCGTCTTGATGCTGCCAGCCGGCTGCGCTGCGTACCACGCGCTCCTTGCGGCGACATATCGTCCATATATGGCCTGTGGCGAATCGTACCTCGGTGGCGATGGCGATGGCGGGCCAGGCAAAGGAGATGGTTCATGAACAGGGGATCC